TGTATATGAAGCATTTGGTTAGTTTTAGCTCCGAGGCACAGTGAGTACATTACTCTATTGAGGAGGTCAGAATTATGAAAAAACCCACCTGAATCATGGCTGCTGCAGTGTAAGCTATTTAGTTTACATTGAAAAACATGGTAACTTTTCCTTAAAGAGCCCCGATCCGTCCTTCCGCGTGTTTTCTTTTTCTCATCTGTACCCCATGTGACCCAACCATGGAACAGAACCGGGCATTGAATGCTTCTGGAACGCAAGCTCAGATGTTTGAATGTGTACGGGGACTCTTATTGAGGACCCAAAAGTGACACAGGTTTTCTGATAGGTCATACTCATATTATATTGAAATAAAAAATCTACAGTATGCACATATCATGCCCCCCCCCTTCCCCCGAGGGACCGATTGTAGGATGCTTAATCAAGAGACGCTGATGGTGAAAGAAGCACTAAGACTCATCACTTTCACCTGTTCGCGGGACAAACTGTTATGTTAGGTCCTAGGTCGCTTGAATATCTGGTTGGAGCGTATGGCATGATTTGTTAAAATGAAAGAGAAAAAGAGACCACGGATTCCTCCTCTTTTCCGAGAGTCCGACGTCTATGGATGCGAGGTTCACTGAAAAGGCATTCGTTAATAGTACGGTGCATTGGTACGTTGTCTTTTCCAATAATGCATTATTACTGTAGTTAGTGATGGAGCTATCTCTATTCTTTTGAAAGAAATGCTTGTTCTGTATGAGATTTTCATATATGAATGAGCCTGCTAATGGTCTTCTGATTATGTTCATGAACGAACCTAACATTGCAGTACACTTTGTAAAGCAAGCCTCACCAGGACTACAGTTTTCAACTCTACATTAACTGGTATCTCATAACAAGCAAGAAGTTAATCAAGGGCTACTAAACAATATTTTGATATTGGACAACAGCGCAAAGCGTCCCTGGCACTATCAACAAAATTATGCTTTACTGGTCTTTCTCCCTCACCCCACACAAAATAGTGACACACATCATGGCAATTGTAAGGACAAAAATTGAAAATAAACGTGAAATGAAATGTGACTATGAGAGTAAAAACTACTTGTTAGATCGTGCAATATATGCACATTCAAAAAGGGAAACTTAACTTGGATTTACCTTAGTGGGATCCGAAACAGGATTATGTGTTGTCAAATACAAAAGCGAATCAGACGGTTTCTACTCAAAAGAAGAAACGACGGTGATCATTAAGAACTGTTGGAGACCATATACTGCACGGCATTGTAGGACTGAGTGTTGACATCATATTATATTTTGCAAAGTATTTATTGTCTTGAAAGAAGAAAAACTTGGGAACACAACGATACTAAACATGTTAGAGTGACACGGAGACACAGGGTTGTTGTCACATTCCAATAATGGGCTAATTTGAAGAAAACGCGCCCTTTTCTGAGATGGGTGCCCTCCGGAAAACGCCTCTAACTGTGAATTCCTGTCTCTTTTAGAAAGAAATATAAAGCGATATCGATTCTTTAGACAATATTCAGGTACCCACATATGGACAAAAATAAAAATCGAAATTTTCATCCAAACAACGTGTTTTTCTGTCCCCTGTCATGTCTTAAACAAAAATGATCGGATAAAACGAAATCAAAGTGACAGCCCACGACTTTCGTTTTAAAGCATTACTGTGAGCTGTTGCTATTATGATGGTATGAAAACAGATGGCACTCATTCTCGTTTATTCTTTCTTTAAATGTCATTATGGCCTGTTGTGGCAAACAAAAATAAATGAAAACATAAGTACAATGCAGGCAAACGGAATAGGTGCGCTAATAGAGGACATAGAGAACTCATACACTGAAAGCCTGCATGTATGTTTAATGATCGATATTCTGTATTCGTACTCGTTTACAAACGCGGAAAAATGGCACAGATCTGCGGTTGCGTGGTCAGAATTGTCTAAACGCAGACAAACCCATCGTCCCCTTAAACCAGTGCCAAATTTTGGCATTTATTTTGACAATACATGTATTTGTCCAAGTGATGCGAGTAAACATTTTAATCATATATTTTTTGGGTTGGTGCTCTTCACCAGAACCTGACAACAGTCGACTTCTTCCCACATAAACCCGTCTTGTTCTTTGGGTTTGGTAGTTCAGAACTTGAAACGTCCCTGTCTAACGAAACGGGCGCGTCACATTTTCTAAACAGAAAAACGTCAGTACTGTCTTAGCGTCGGTGGCCTAGTGGTTAGGCTTGAAGACTTTCAGCCATAAGGTCGTGGGTTCAAATACCGTCAGGGGCCCGACGTTGTGTCCTAGCAAGGGGAGGTATGTAGTCTTAATTAAACAGCCTAGTGCACTGCTCACAGTCGAAAGCTCCGTATCCCAGACTCTAGCGGCGAGATCATCAGGAGAGAATTCGTCGGTGTTTCGGGCTCTTCCTCTCTACAGCTTTTCTGACGCACCGAGCCCCCTCACCGATGTGAGGTCTCCTTGCTAGTCCAACTGTTTTCCTCTGCTGTCAACCCTTAGGATTCATTCCAGCCTGCGTCCACTTTTTTCAACCAGACCCAGTGACTCGCTTTCTCTACTGCCCCCTGAAGGGAAGTTATGATTTCCTTACTTTTCTTTGCAGTAAGTCCTGCCATTCTCATCCACCTTTGGACGCCATTTGCTACGAAACCTCTGCAGCCAACCTCTCCTGGAAAGTGAGTAGCATTCCAATGTGTCTCCTTTCATTTTTTGACAAGTGCCTCATATCGGTTTTCTTTGAGCTCATGTGCAGCATTGATGTTGTCTTCGTGAGGCACCGTGAGCACCACCAGGTGCACCTTTTTGCCTTTTTCCTCCCATAACACCAAGTCTGGCTTTTTTGTAGTTGGGATGGGGAAGAATCTCTCGAAGCCTTTTAAGTCTGCAGCTACCACACATGTGCCTCCACTTTGGTTATTCGTGGTTTCGTTTGCTTTCTTTTTGTTGGAAACCTTACTTCCATGCGGAACGAACTCAATCTTGGTTAGTCCATGTTTCTGTAGCTAGGGGGCGTATTTTCCTTCTTCCATCTGTTTTGTCGCCATCGTGGTGAGCACTTTCAGCACCTTTACCCGAATTTGCCTCACTTGACTTGACAGAAATGTGAACCTGGCTGTAGACAAGTGAACAATTTTGACAGTTTGTTAGTGTTTGAGAGCGTGAAATCTGAAGCTTGCATTGTATGCTTCTCGAGAAGCCGAGAATGTTTCTGAGTGTTCTCGGGTCTGCTTGCGTAATGATAGCTGTAAAACGTACAGAGCAGCTGTAAAGCGTGAATATGTTCTATATAAATGCTGTTATTGTATTATTATTATTATTATTATTATTATTATTATTATTATTATTATTATTATTATTATTATTATTATTATTATAGACATTTTTTTGGACGGCTTCTAAAATGAGTTAAAAATCAACTTAAATCTATAATGTGTTAAAATGAACTTAAAGAGACCTTTAAGCGTATTATTTGAATTGCCAATGCCATTCATTCATTTCACAGCTATTGAGAACTGTGTCATGTGAACTCAATTTCTGAAACTGAACTTAATTTCTAACGAGTGCCTTGGTACAGTTAAAACAGCTGTGGAAATATTGGCAGATGTCTTTGTTCATAGCAGTTGTTTCGAGTTTTTTTCATCTTACTCTTTTCCACTGCACCTCGTGCAGAAAAAGCAAAACAAAATGGATAATCTTATCTTAGTGCACCAACCCTTGAGTGTTTTTTTTTTGTTGCAGAAAAGATTAAACAACAACAACAACAACAAAAAGAAACAACACTCCCCCCCCCCAAAAAAAAAAGCCAATGTAGAGATAAGAGGAATTGCCGTAACGTGGTACAATCTAGCACGTTTGCATAATTTGATAATTCATGGTGAGTGTGAAGTGGTGGGTGTTGTGGGGATGGGGGCTGTCAAGGACGGAGAGAAGGTTGAGTTAACATTATAAAAGAACAGTAGATCAAGACTACGTACTTAGTGCTTGCCAGAGGGCCGTGCAGACACTATGTTCACTTTGTTAATTGCATTTGCTGGCTTGTTTGCAGCAGGTATGTCATTGCCTCGTACCTACGATTGAATGAAGCGAACGAACATTTTCCAGAGCAAGATTTAGTCAACCGAAATTATAGCTACAGATCATCTCAAACCGCTATATTATTCAAATATAGCTTCGAAAGCATAGAAAAGAGCACAATTATAAAGCCTGGCCAATACAGTAAACGGTGAAACCGCCTCATTAATTTTGAATTTTTTTTCGAAAGAAAGTTCCTATTATGATTAGCAGCTCAACAGGCAGACGTTAATTTAATGCAACATTTACTCCCTCATACCATGGAGCGTTATGTACCGGTTATGAAATGCTTTCAAAATTATAAATACTTATTTCGGTAAGATTTTCTACGCCAAAACTGTGTTTTTGAGAAATTTTATTTGACGAGAGTACTCCTCGCTTTATTTTTGTACCTCCCTCTATCAAGTGAACCTTCGTCGAGCTGGTGTTTATCCAAGGTGTGATCTTTTCAAAATACTATTGTGTTCTCCTCTTGAAGAGGGGAAGATGACGCTCTTTATAAGCAATTTATTTTTAAGTCACTCAAGGTTTGCCCCGCCCCCCCCCCTACCACTCTCTCACTCTGTCTGTCTGTCTGTCTGTCTGTCTGTCTGTCTGTGTCTGTCTGCCTGTCTGTCTGTCTGTCTGTCTGTCTGTCTGTCTGTCTGTCTGTCTCATCCCTCTTCCGTTCTGCGTTCTATACTGTTGCTAGTGTGTATGTATCCGTAACCGCCTCTCTGTAGTGAGTCTATTGCATGCCAGCAGGAGGTGCTACGCTGCATTACATACTGTACTTACTTACTGAAATATTTACTCCAAATTTGTAATGTCACGTACATACGCTAAAGAGCAGTCGACAACACCCCTGTCTGTCCCTGACCACTTTCTCTAGATTAAAGACACATTCAAGCCCTGGATCACCAGTTGGTTTACCTCTTCCTCTTTCTCCATTTGGTTTCCATTACTATGTCTGATAGAGCAGTCGTGTCTTTGGCATTTTCAAAACATGTTCGACATATCTTTTCGTTTTTATGGCCGTGTTGATATCTTCAATCCCAGCTCTTTTCGACATTTGACTATTTAATGTAAATTTATTCCATTTCATTTAATACCATTCTGCCCAGTCTATCTATAATGATAAAATAACACATAAACACCTCTGTTTAAAACTTTATCTTTAAACTGTACACTTGTATACCATCTCTTATCACCGTTCCACCCCCCCCCCCTACTCTTGCTACTGGTGATCGACCTTTGAAATGACCAACTTGTGTCTCTTCGGGCTTCACATTCGTAAGAAATATCAACATATTCTAAATTTGATGCCCAATTCTCACCTCATCCCCCCCCCTCCCAACATACTTTTTCATCATCAGGCCAGGCGGCCGCTGCCTACCATGACCCCCATTGCGATGGCCGTCAAGTGATCGTCCACTTGTTTGAGTGGAAATGGACGGATATTGCAAAAGAGTGTGAGCGCTATCTAGGACCCAAGGGATTCTGCGGAGTGCAAGTGAGGCTTTAACTAGCTATATCTACTCATATAATAATATTAGTAGATTTGTCTCTTTTCATCCATCTGCGAGTTTACTTTGCTCGAGCAAAAAGTCACTCATATTTCACCCTCCACCCCCC